AACTAGAAACATTCGGATTTAGCCGCACGTCTCTCAAGACGGCTAAACCCGAATGATTCTAGTTCTAGGTCTTGTGTTAGTTCTAGTAATACTGTAAAAGTAGAACTAACACTAGACCTAGAACTAGAAAGTATCGGGTTTAGCTGTGCGCTTCATGCCCAACCCGACATTTGCGAAATTTGCACTGGTTTAACACGTTGACTGCCGTGTGTATCAAAACTGGTACACACTTCTGTAGTGTAGTAATGCGCGTGATATACCCGCGGCAGTCAACATGTTAAATGTTAATTAATCTAATTCAAAGTGGAGTTTCTACACAAAAATCTGAAATAAATCAGAATGTAACGTTTAAAGAGGGGGGTAGGGCATCAGGTATAGATTTTAGGTTATCTTTACTTTATAGATGGTAAACAACGACATTTTAGTCGTTATGCGTCGAAAACCTAAGAAACAATCGTATTTCACCCGAAAATTTACGTTTTAACCAAATATGTTGCGAAAATAAAGGGTTAAGTGACGTCACGACGAAACTTTAAAGTAATTTTTCAGTAAATTTTACACTTTTTTTTATTTATAACGGCTTACCTGAGTGATTTCCCGTCGATTAAAAGAAAATTGTCGATTTTTAACCGACATGATTCTTGAATTATATCATTTTTTTAAAAATAAATTACCTAGGATTTGGTGTAACAGATTCATTATTAGTGTAAACTTCATAAAAATGAGGTCTTAAATCTTCGGGAATATAACTAGCAGATCCTATAATAACATATCGACCATCATCACTAAACAAACTACACTCTCTATTTAACTGTTCGGAACTCTGACACACATTAACCACATGTTTTAATTGAAAAAATCGTTCAAATATACTACTTTTACTCTCAAACTTTTCTTTTTCACTTCTACAATGAACGTGTTGCAGCAAATCGCAAGCAACAGCTGGTCCTTGATAACTATACACCTCCAAGGAAGTTTGATCTGCGGAAAACGCTATAAAATGCCTTCCATCTGGACTGAATTTTCTTAAAAAACACGGTGGTTTTTCTACGTTTACCACAGTGAAATTTGGGAAGACGTTTTGATAAAACTGCCGCACTTGGTAGTAATGAGTTCCCGGTTTTTTGTAACCATACGTTTGTCGATTAAATAGTCTTATTACTATGTTTTGTGGCGGAACTTTTCGAGGTTTAATAAAGTCATCCATTTCGTTAGTGGAAATACTTTTCTCATAATAGAAATTGAGTAAAACATTAATCAAAAGATATTAATTTCTAATTTTATATAAATCTGACTTGACATTATCTTGTAACTACATTCATTGTTGTCGTTTGTTTTTAGGATTATTGATATGAAGTTAGTTATAAATTATTTGATTTTCCTTAAGATTTATAAAATGTTATAAGGATATTAAGATAAAGTTTGATTGGGTTTTATAGAATAATCTAATAATATCAAATACATATTTGTTATCATATGAACAATGTTGTTTTATGATTTTATTTATTGTCGGTTGGTAACCTCTTAACACTTCATATAGACTTTCACAAAGTGGGATTTATGCAATAAGAGTTGCATATCTATCTTATCTATAAAATTATTTTTATATTCAAACAATACTGAAATACATCTAACACAAATCGATTAAGATCACATTTTTTGAAAAAGGTGGTAAATTGTCATGTCATGTGTCAAAAATTCAATCTCATCATGTTTAAAAATTAACGAATGCTTTAAGTAGTTACTAATTGTAAAACTAAAAGAAATTAACGTAAATGAATCAATTTAGGATTTCTCAAACAGGGATTAGTATAATCTTGTTTGGTCTAGGTATATCATGTGGCAATAAAGTAACTAATTTAATTTTGTTGATTTCCGATGTCGAGATAATCACAAAAGATGCAAGGTCATCAATGGATTTATCTTCTTCTTCCGCTTATAATAGGGCTCAGTCTTATCTTTGTTCAGAACACAGATTGCCGAAACAGTACACTGTTCTGGACCTATCCCGACAGGATCTCTTCATTTGTCGCGCGCTCCTCTTTTCCTTGACGTCTTCATTTCTAATGCGGTCTAGAAAAGAGCAATTGCTTTAAGAATCTCTTCATCTCTATGGTTCTGAGAAGCCCTTCTTAGCTGTCTTAATTAGGTTTTGTTTGTAAGTATTTGTTGTTCTATATTACATCCTGGAAGCACAGTGCTTTTGTGATTTGTGTCCTGACTTTCGTCAGAAGATATTCCACCTGCATGACCTGATCTATGATACGATTGTAAACCCCTAGTTTACACCTTCTTGGTTCTTTGGCTATTGTTAGGGACACCACTCTTTGGAGGCTATCTTTGTCTTCAGATCAAGACTGCATCGTCTGCGTAACATATGATTCTAATATACCTCTCACCCAACAAATCGTTTCTTCAATTAGTTATTCTATTACTAAAATGAATAGAGCCGGGCATGGGCGTAGTCAGAATTTGGTCTAGGGGAGAGGGCGAATTAGAGTTGACATCTTGGAGACTTGCATGACCGGGGGAGGGGTGAGGGGTTTCAACAATTGAAGAGTCGTTAATTTAAACAACACATACTTTATTTATAACATTAATCGCCTAGGATTTTCAGAAAATGTTTCTATGACTTCTAATTCTATCTCATTCTTTTTTTTCTGACACAAGATTTTTATGCACACTCATTAAACATAGTCCATTTAAACGATTTTCCTCCATTGTAGATCTTAACCATGTTTTGACACATCTTAATGTGCTAAATGATCTTTCTATTGTACTTGTAGAACAAGGCTGCGCTATTGAGATCATTAAAGCATTTTTTATACCGGGAAAGAATATATTAGCTTCTTTAATCACTTCAACCATTTCCAGATCTTTTAAGATCTGTCTACCAAGGTTTTTCAGTCCACACATGATGCCACAATTCTGTTTCAGACTGAAGTTCTTTCAGGTCGTACAATTCAGCAATACATTTTGCTCTCTGGTTAAAATCTTCAATCTTCAAATTTAGCATAAGATAAGGATGTAGGGATAATATAGAAAAGGCCGGTAAGTTTTCTACAGAAAATCTGTTCTGCAACGCTGACGTTAAAGAGTCCAGATACGGAATAAGTATCGTACGTTTCCAATACTCGGCAGGTGAATCTGCAGGAGTGTTTGAACGATGCTGTTGGTGCTTTACTATTCTGGATGAATGAAGAGTTCTATTTGTATTTCCTCCGCAATCCTATTGGCAGAAGCAAAGAGATCTTTCATAATGGCATCATAATGGCAATGAAAGAACAAGCCCTTTCTATACTTTTCTCTTATTATCTTTTGTACTCCACCATCTTTGCCGGCCATTGCCGCACATCCGTTGTATCCTTGCCCAACACATTTTTGTGGGTCTAATTCTCCTGTTTGTAAAAAGTTGTTGATTGTTTCAGCTATGGTTCTTGCATCCATAGATTCTAATTTTTCGAATCCGAGAAATTCTTCGCGTACCGTCAAATTTTCTTCATCGAAAAATCTCAGTTCTAAAGACAGTTGTTCGCTTCCTGATATATCGTCCTCTAATATAGAATAAGTGAACGATTTTTTAGCAGCTTTTAGTATAAGACTTTTTACAGCATTACCACACAATTTTATAAGTTTATTTTGTATCTGGGGTGAAATATAGGTAACATTTTTTTTACCTTCTATCTGTCGTTTTAGGTCTACGTCGGCGTCGCCACTATCAATTCTGAAATTTCTAACTCTTCAAAAACTCCTTTGTTTTGTACTTTGCCTCTTAATGGTAAGTCATGAATTCCACAAAATAGTATGGTTGATATGATTGATAATAACATTTCTCGATTTTCCGCTCTTAATTTTTGATGTGCTGATATTAGTTCGACATCTATAGGAGCTTCCTCCATGAAGGATTTTGCAGCTTTGACTGCTGCCAAATGCCATCGACTTGCAATATGGTTCTTACTATATTCATGCATATGCTTATATCGAATAAAAGGGTGTACAGCGAAAGAACCTTGGACTCCCTGAACCAAAGAAGGAAACATCACACACTATAAACACAAAGCTCCCTTTAAGTGCTTTAAATATGCCAGCCATGGTGAATATTTCTCAAGCCAACTGTATTGAAATTTTCTCTTCAGATGTGTGGCATCTTCGGCAAAGCTGTAATTTTGTGGAGGTTTCCAACAGCGTTTCAAAATTTTCATTTTTTTGGGCTGTAGTCATAAGCGAAGTTTTTCCCACCCATTTGCCGATGTCATTATCGCAGCTCTCTTCTTGAACAGTGTTTTGAATTGTCGACGAAGAAGGCCCTGGCTGAGGTTCAGGGTTTGGTAAGGGATCCTTTGGCTTCTTCTCATCATTTTCACCTTCATTTTCCGATCTCTTCCTTCTCTCGGTAGCTAAAAGCGACAAACATTGCTACAAACTATAGTCTATAGGTATAGGCATATACCTGAATAGGTAAAAAAAATTTGCATTTTAACACAGCACTACGACTAGGCTATAACTTCAGCAGAAACGTTTCTAGTGGTTTATATGTTTATGATTTCTGTCGACTAACCAGAATAAAGTTATGAAGGTCTAGTTAGGCTTCTCGGCAACAGATGTCGCCCGTGGTGTAAAGGCCTAGTTAGTCCTCTCGGCAAACCGATGTTGCGCATGGACTGTGATGCAGTCAATTTGTAATTAAGAGTTTTATTTTTATTAGTAATTATTTCAGAGATTTGGGGCCACTCTGGCTATGCCCATGGAGCCGGGCGAAGGGTATCTCCCTGCCTCACATCAATTGCAATTGGTATAACTTTTATGAATTCCTCTTCTGTTCTTAAAAAACTTGAGTATTCATCCAGATTCATCTCACTTACAAGTGTTACTATATTAGAGGATATGTGTCGTTTCTCTAGCAAGATTACTACGTCACTTAGTGTCAACCTATCAAAAACCTGTTTAAGATCGACGAAACACATACAAGCTGTCTTGTTGAACTCTATTATTACATCTATAGTTAGTTGACCTGTTTTTTTGAATCATTGTTGTTGTTCACAGATTCCAGTTGTTATTATTTCATCTGATAGCATTTTGGTCATCAATTTTTAGATTAAATTTTTAGATAGAACTCAAGATGCTAATTCCCCTTTAATTCCTTGAGTTTGTCTTTTCACCCTTCTTGAAGATTGGTATCAGTATGCTGCACTTCCAGTACGATGGCATCCTTTTATTTTTGATAATTATGTTAAACAGGGTGTGAATTTCATCTATCAGTGCGTCTTTGCCATATTTAATGACGAATTAATGGTGATTTTTTATTTTTCACCTTTTACTATTGTACGACGACTACATCTGCATGGCACACTACATCTAGATTGTTTGTTTTACTTATTCTTTGGAAAATTTGAATTTCGATTAAGCAATAGTTTCCATGGCTAGTTGAGGAGGTACTGTGTTTTGCCTGTTTTCTGCCATGTCTTCGTACAACATTTTGGAGTATTTTTCTCAATTTTCCGCCTTTATCTTTGTGATATGTATGAACTTGTTTACTAGTTTCTTTCTGTGTATCAATAAATTTCAATATTTCAATCTGACCACCATATAGATCACTCTCCATATCATTCGTAAACTTTTTCCTGTAGCTTTTGTTGATTGATTGAATGTCTGCCTGATCTAATCTGTAAATAGTATCCTCATTTTTCCGCAGCAACATCTTGCACTTCTTGAGTGAACCAAGGCTTTGAGAGAGATTTGATCAAGAGAGATAAATGTAAAAAGTCGTACCACGTTTTGCAGTTGTTTGCAAAAGTCGTGCTAATAAATCGTGAAATATTAATTTCGAAAGTGCAAAGAAAACCAGTACTATGGAAGGATCAATACCCAGATTACAAAACAAGGGAGATAACAAGAAAGTTATAAGAAGATGTTGGAATATGTATTGGATTAGATTGTAGTTAAATTGTTTCACGCTGATTTTCTAGAAAATAATGCTCTACTTATTGATAGTAATGTAAGTCACGTCAATTAAAACATAGGGTACTTTGAAGTTTATACCAGATAGTTTTCTGTTTGGTGGCATATCGAATTCCTCATGTTTAAGCAGTTTGAAGAGTTGCGAATATGAAAATATTCCGTCATCACTTTGCTTTCGCCTGGTTCCAACCGCGATTGTGGTAAATTTGTTTTGTCAGCATCAGCTACTACTTGTAACTCCACTGCAAATTACTTCAGGTAATTGAAATAGCGAAAACCATGTCCTGGTGGGCATTTAGTTGGCAGTGGTTGCCGTCAATTGATCCTATAAAATTTGGAAACTTCTAACGTCTTTAGTATTTTGCAACAGTTTGTAATTGGTATTGACTGGCATGAATTGACGAGGAACTGGTATAAATTCGTCAACAAATTCATCCTATATTATTTTCATGTTTCATGAACAATTTTGCAAATGACAGTGAGAGGCCTCTAGATAAGAGCTTGAAATATTATAATAACTAATAAGTTATTAGTTATTATTACTTATTACCCGAATTTATGTGTAATAAGTAATAACACATTCGGGTAAACAAGCTCCCGATCAGAAAATGACAATTTAATAACAAAATAGCCGATTTTTGATATGTAGCTACTTGGCAAAGAGTAAAACTACTGGCACCTTTTCAAACAAACCTCAGAACACCAAGAGTGGGGATGAAGAGCAAACTGCAGAAAACGTAAATAGTGAATTAATACCATATAATCAGTGGCGTACCTAGGATAAATGGCGCCTATGGCAAACATCGATCTTACGTTTTATTTACTAAAAAACTACTTTAGAATTGGGTAAAAAAGCACACAAGCTAAATCTATTAACATTTTATTACAAATTTATCTTTCTTGCTTTAGTTGACGCAAATTGTTTAATTATATTATCAAAGTCAATTTCTTCGGTCATTTCTCATTCTATGCTAAGTAAAGCAAGATCACATAATCGACTTTGGGCCATCGAGGTTCTCAAATATGAAAGTATCAATTTTAATTTGCTAAATGATCTTTCGCAACTGGCAATAGTAACTGCGACTGTCAGCAATATTTGCAATGCTATATACGCATATTGGGAAAAACGTTTTCATCTCCATACTGAACTATAAAATTAAGTAATTGTTCGGGACTTGATATTTTTTCGGTACGGCTTGTTAGCAGCGTTTTAAAATAAAAAATTTCTTCATATAATCTTGCCCATCCACATCACAACTGTAGGCTTCTCCAAAATTTTCACAACGCTCTTTCAAGTAGCTTGATTCGGCTTTAAAACACAACCCTTCTATATCAAGAAGAAATCAAAATTTTTCATCACTTTCTTGTAAACAAACGCTTCTACTTTTTAATTCATTGAATAGACGGTCCACAATCCCTTTCATAACTCTTTCCATTTCTTCTTTAGCTGATAAACCAGCATCTCTCGATGTTTCGCCATCCATTCTTTTCTTTCAAATTCAATGTCCCGTTCATTGCAAATTCGAATTCCTTCTTTCAGTGAGTCACTAACTAACACTTCTCTTTCATCATGAAAATAATTTTGGAGTGCTTTTAAATCTAAAGCTGCTTCATGAAAGTTCATTTTAGGGTCTTGCAACCTCTTTTGAGCGCGGTCAATACGAATTAAGATCTTGTCCCAAAACCCTAGTAACGTTAGATAAGTCATATGTTAATATTATTATAGAGTTGCTTTGCATCGCTTTTAGTTTCACTAGTCGCGCTTTCATAATCCATTATGTTCTGGAGAACTTTCACTATTTGCTCGAGATATTTGTTAACAGGTTTTACTGATTCCGTTTTTGCGCTCCACCTGGTATCGGAGTCAGACTTTAAAGCCGCAGGTACAACAGCTTTGAGCTTTTCCCAACGCTGGGTTGAACGAGAGAAGAAAACATAAAGTGCATCGATGGTTCCGAAAAAAATTACCATCATTACTTCTTCTTTGGCTGCATGGACGCCTACCAAATTGAGAGGAATGATTATCACAATTCACAAATACTGTTTTTTTTGATTCTTTGATGAACACCAGTCTTGTGTCCAGCTATAACAGCAGCATTATCATAGCACTGTGACCTACAGTCTTGTAAATTCATATTGTCTTTCTCTAACTGCTTCAATATTTCTTGAACCAAGTTTGAACCATTCTTTAATCTGCACAGTTTTTTTCTCAAAATTTATATCTACATATCTTACTACCTCAGACATTTGTTCACGATGAGTTTGATCAGGAGTCGAGTCAAACATTAGCCCATAATACTTTGTTTTACGTATTCTTTCTAGCAAACTATCACGAACAGTAGATGCCATGATGTGAATAAGGTCGTTCTGTATTTTCGGTGAAAGATATGAAGTGGATCCAGGATGGCTCTCCGCAAATCTTAAATTAGTTTCAAGAAATCCAGTAAATTTCCTGTATTAAAATCTGACTGAAGTGACTCGCAAAGCCAGGTTTTGTATGGCAAGGTATTTGATGCAGAGTAAAAGTCTTTTCAAAATATCACACCACTTCTGACTTTCTTTTTAAATTTGCTCTTGAAGTTGCATCAATTATGGCTCTGTTGTTACGTAAATTTCTTTCCATTTCTTTCCGGTGAGTAAACCATTGTCGATGATTTTTGGAACACTTATTCTCTCAAGTGCTTTCCATTGCTTAATTCCGAAGAAGACAGCAAATACAAAAGGCAGACTTTTTGGAAGGTGAATAAACTAATCATGAACGCATCACTTGCTCACCAAGACCATCTTTTAATTTTTTTTGAACCAAGTTTTGTTCATAGAACGATTTTTAGTGGGCAAAACACTAGGACCACTAACAATAAATAAATAAATAATTTCTATTCTCAACGCATCAGTTATAATTGCCTTTCCCGACTCTTCACTAAACATAAGAAGACCGATGTCGTGTTCTTAAATCGCTCTAGATATGGGATTTTTTATATTTTCTGCGTCTTTGGACATCAAGTTTTTATTTACTTCAACGTCATCAGTATCTATTTCTTTGTCAGACCCATCTTCTAATTCTTCAGAAGTAGCATACTTTCTAGAATTAGAATTCTCTATATTTCCAGTTATCTTTTCTGCATCATTAGATGTCGTATCAAATTCTTTCTCGGTTGAACTTGGAACCAGCATCATTCAATTCTTTAGAATTTGCAGAATTTTCAAGACATTCTGAAGAAATCGTGTTTGTGCTTGATTTTTTAAAAAACGTATTACAAATTTTGCTGCTTTTTTCTACTTCTTTTGCCTCTAACAAGCGTCTTTTTCGACCTGCAGCTCTACTCTCTTTCTTCTTCTCAAAAAAGAAAAATCACTTTTAGTTCTTGAGAAATAAAATTTGGAAATGATCGACAATTTTTTCGAATTTTACAATCCATTTCTTGGAACATGAGTTTGAAAATTTCCCAAAGTGTTAATAAGAGTAACCTCTTTCCAATGAACCAACACGATTTGAAAAATAACTTTAATTTTTTGAGAAGACAATATTTGAAGTTTTGATAAAATTTTCAATATTGCAATTTTCATTGATAACATTCAAAATTCGCTATAAAATTTATTTCTTGAAGGATCCTTGTGGAAATATCACCAATTATTAATTAAAGTATCCTCTTTTTAATGCAAAAAGCCGTTTTGAAATACCACCTTTAGTTCTTGAGAAATAAATTTTTGAAGTAATCGACAATTTTTTCGAATTTTACAATTTTCGCCGATTAAGTTGTAATAATTCGTATAGATCCATTTCTCGGAACATGAGTTTGAAAATTTCCCAAAGTGTTAATAAGAGTGTCTTCTTTCCAATGAACCAACACGTTTTGAAAAATAACTTTTAGTTTTTGAGAAAACACTATTTGAAGTTTTGATAAAATGTTCGATGTTGCAATTTTCATCGATAATTTTCAAAATTTGCTATAAAATTAATTTTTTGAAGGATACTTGTGGAAATATCGCGAATTATTAATTAAAGAATCCTCTTTTTAATGCAAAAAGCCGTTTTGAAAAATCACTTTTAGTTCTTGAGAAATAAATTTTGTAAATAATCGACAATTTTTTCGAATTTTGCAATTTTCGCCGATTAAGTTTAAAATTCGTATAAAATCCAGATCTTGGAATATGAGTATGAAAATTACCCAAAATGTTAATAAAAGTGTTCTCTTTCCAATGAACCAACACCTTTTGAAAAATAACTTTTAGTTTTTGAGAAAACAGTATTGAGGTTTTGATAAAATTTTTGATGTTGCAATTTTCAATATAAACGCGACCTAATAGAATGAAGCAATTTGAATAATTTGCACAAGATTTTATGTCTTCATTTGGATAAAAAATTAATTACAATTACAACAGATTCTTTTTTACATTGTTTTTTTAACCCATTGTTTTAAATAACCATGAAAATATTATATTGGTTATATTTCTTATTGTATTCATTTGCGTGGATTTTATTACAAGTACGATAGGAATATCTTTTATATTTAAATTTGAATTTATTTTCCCCACAGACTACAGATACTGAGAATATAAACCTTTGTGATTACGACGATTTTGGAGATTTTTCCTGTAGGGTTCCAACATTACCAGAAAAAGCTAAATTAATCCTAAGATCTTCATGGAAATTCATTTATGGTTTTACAAATTTTTGGAGAGCCTTTTTCCTTTTCTTAATGGAAGTTTTTAATCTTCGCCATAAAGACAGCATGGAATTGTTATCTTTAATGGATCATTTTGCAACGCAATTTCAAACGGAATTTTTAAATATATTATGTGTTATAAAAGGTAAACCTGGGTATGGATATGAATAAATTTGAAATAAAAAAAATCGTTAAACTTGAAGCATATATTTATTTATTTAAATATACAAAACAGCACTGTGGTTTTATTTAAAGTAGAAGTAATTAAAACAATTTTTTTGAGGTTAAAACGAAATATTTGTTGATGATTGTCGGATTAAACAGAAAAATTTTATTTGAAGCGATCAGCAGTGAGCAAACATCGACAATTTAATATGAAAATGGCTTCGTTAAAATAAAGTATCTAAAATACAAAAAGTTCTTTTAAAGTTATTGGCCTTAAGCGCTTTTTTGTTCTTTGGTAATTAAGTGGTAGGCTTATTACTATTTAGTTTAAGTCATTTTTTTATAAATCCAGTATTAAAAACGTTCAGTTAATTTTTGTAATTCGAGAATTGTTTTTAAAAAAGAAAAGCTTTAAAAAATGGCACCGGAATGTATAGATTTATTAAATATATCCGTAGTTTTTTTTAAAACGTTCTTTGTATAATCAGTCTCATGCATACAGGTCATTTGTAAGGCAATGTATCAATTCTTAGCAAAAAAATGTACCACCAAAAATATAACAACGAATAAATTATAACAATAAAAATAACAACAACCCAAAACGATTTTTGCTAAAGCAAATTTAACAACCAAATAATTGCATAATTAAAATATCATAAAAATCGAGTGGTCCCTATTAAAAATATATTGATACTAATATAAATAAAATATATATTAGTGTATCACATCGCATTGTAGCTGCTAACTTAAAAACGCAGTAAACATTTTCTCTTAATCATTTAAAAACAATTTGTATTAATTTACCGGATAAAAGACAATAAGATTTTATTTTATAATTTGTGAACCTGAGAGTGAAAAGTGTATTATTTTAAGTGCTATAGCAAAACATAAATAAAAAACCTATAGCAAAAATTGTTTCGTCAAGTCTTCTTAGACCACTTCATGTCGTCATCTCTCGGTTTGTAGCCGGTAACTGATTCGATAATCGTTTCTAAAGTACTCCAAAACCTCAGTTTTTCCAACGGCCAATTCAACCACCCCGTTGTCATACAAAAATAAGTTTCGTGGGGTGCCACGTGGTGAATCCTATGGTGTTTTCTCGGCAGGATTATGTGACAATCTTGTAACCACATCACCCAAAAGGGTAATCCAAAATAAGTATGCGACCATTTGTGAATCTAAAATGAGCTTGTTTGTTTTTAATCGCGCTTGGCATGAATAATAAATTTAAATCGAACCTGATTTGTCATCGCCACAAATATTGCCAATAGAAAGATGTAGCAATACCAATTAAAATTCTTTTGTACTTGATCATTAGGTAACGTTATAAAATCGTAAAGCATTTTTCCTAGGAATGGAATTGTCACTGAAAAATTATCTCCATTCGTTTCAATAAAATCATGTCTTGTTATCGATGTCGGATCGATGTGATGCTCTCGAAACGGTCTTAAAAAGTTCTACAAATTAAAAAAATTAAACTGTTTTGAGTACAGTATAACCTCGATATAACGGACAAACTATTTTTAAGTCATACTATTAATATTATCTATTTAATACATCAGCATAGTTAAATATAAATGTTAGTGCTAAATGTTAGATAAAATCTAACTCGGGTTATTACAGTTGCTGTATTTCATGTTCATATATATTTTTTTTCTCTTTTCTTTTTTCAAGCAAGAAATGTGTTTAGAGTTCCTTATATAAAATAATATAAACATATTGTTTTCCCTTTTTTTTAAAGTATATGGCAAACAACGCGTTACTTTCTGTTGGACACATTAACACTAGATCGTTATTATGCAATTTTGATATATTTCGCGACTATTTTGTATCGGGTGAATGTAATGTTATTGCCTTATCGGAGACTTGGCTTCACGCGGACATTCCGGATCATGGGGTTGCTATGGATGGGTATACGGTATACGTTGGTGAGGAAGGATAGAGGTGCTCGTGGGGGTAGCGTGGGATCTTACATCTCTAAAAGCCTTAAGTTTTCTCGACTAACTGCTGAGCGAAACCGTGACGCGGAGATGATATGGGTTAAATTACATCTTCCAAAAACATGCTTGATTATTGGTGTTTTATATAGACCCCCCCAATCAAACGTGAACATATTTGTTGAGGTTCTGGATTCGTGTATATCTCAGTTTTTACCAATAGGTGATGATTTGATGATTGTAGGTGATTTCAATATTAATGTTTTGGATGAAGACCGTTTACGGTTTGCTTCAGATTGTGAACTCACCTACTAAGGTAACTGCCTCTAGTTCTACGCTCATTGATCTTATTTTGGTGACGGAAGGTATTGTGGTGCGGGAGTGCGGTGTTCGGGAATTTTTTAAATTCTCGGAACACTTTTTCACTTTCTGCACCATTTTGCATGACCACTTCAAGCCCCCTCTACTCTTTAAAACTGTCTGGGATTATGGCTCTGCAGATCGGGTTGCTCTTGAGAGGGACCTGGGGATGCTGCCGTGGATGGATATTATTTATACGCAGATGTTAACGATAAATTGAGAAATTTCAATGAGCTGCTGCTCTCTGTGTTTTATGTACACATTCCTAGTAGAGTGGTGAGAGTATCCAGCCCTCGGCCTCCTTGGTTGACGACCACTATTAGAGAAATGATTAAACTTCGTGACAACTCGTATAAGAGATTCAAGCATACCAGGCTGGATTCTCATAGGGATTATTATAAAAGCTTAAGAACCGCTATCAGAAGGCCCCAAACACTTCCTCCGAGTATTGGCGTCGCATTAGGTAAAACGTAAATATTACTAAAGGTAAGGGTATTATCCCGGAGTCGTTGGCCCAATGCAAATGAGATTGCGAATCATTTCGGCGGCGCTGTTCCTCAAACTGATTTCGACTGTGATGTGTATCAATACTACAATAACAACAAGGCTACCGCTTTTCAAACTGAATTCTCCTTCTGGGCTGTAACGGAGAACGATCTATACTCCACGTTGATTAGTATCTCTTCCAATGCCGTTGGAGTCGATGGCATAGCATTAAAATTTGTTAAGATGTGTTTTCCTTTTATATCTAGATATATTTTACATATCGTAAATTTCTGTTTAACAGAAAATGTATACCCTACCATCTGGAAACAGTCTGTTGCAGTTGCAATACCCAAAAAAACAAATCCTTCCGATTATAGCGATTTAAGGCTCATTTGTCTTCTACCCGGCCTTTCCAAGGTTGTTGAAAAAATTGTGGATCATCAGCCGCGAACACACCTAACTCAATATAATCTTCTGCCTGATTCCCAATCGGGTTTTCGTCCGGGTTTTTCGTGCGCTACTTCTCTTTTAAACCTTACGGATGACATTGTGGCCTTGTTACGGCCCTGGTGACACTTGACTATTCTAAGACATTTGACACTATCAGTCATCAAATGTTGCTTGCTGTTCTTAGGTTTATGGATCCTATCTTATTTGTCCTATACACTAGTGCCTTCTCGTTATACGTCCGTTACTGTAAATTACAAACTTAGGCGGATGATACACAACTATATTTGAGCTTTCCGTTGTCAGAGATTGAAAGTGCAAATAGTCGTTTAAATCAAGATATCGAACGGGTGGTGAATATTTCGGAAGGGCACGGTCTATTGATTAATGGTACGAAATCATCAGCTATTATATTCGGTAGAATTAAAGACCTTGATCCTGCCAGAGCATCATTGAGGATTCGTGTGGGCGGCGATGAATTGCGCGTAGTTGATACTGTAAAACTCTTGGGGGTATGGCTGGATTCGGATATGCGTTTTAATACACATATCAATCACTTAATTAGATGTTCGTATGCCACGCTAAAGTCTTTATACGTCAACCGTCACAGTTTAAGCACACAAAGTAGAGCCTTGCTCACTGACACGTTGATACTTTCTCGGTTTAATCACTGCAACGCTGTTTATGGACCTCATCTGCGTGCAGATGCTGCGGCACGAGTCTAACGAGTTCAGGGGGCGTGTCTCCGTTTGATATTTGGTATACGTCGAAATCAAAGGATCTCTTACAAGTTGCCCGAGATACGGTGGTTGAGTATGAAAGCAAGGAGAATTTTTCATGAGGGAGTATTATTTTTCAAAATTATTATGTTCAAAACTCCGGCTTACTTGCACAATAAAATCAGATTTAGAACGGACGTTCATAATATAAACGTCCGCAGAAAGAACTGCCTGTCTATCCTGCCTCATAGCACCCAACTGTTTAAAAGGTCTTTTTCTTACAGAATTGCCGATTTTTGGAATTTTCTGCCGGAAGCTTTGCGCTCTAAACAATCAGTGCCTGCCTTCAAAAAAGCATTCAAATTACAATTTGTTTTTTGATGTTGCTTAAAAAAACAATTTTGTTTTTGTTCTTTTGTGTTTTGTCACGTTTTGCGTGTTTTCTCGATTTATCTGTTTTCTTGTATTCTCTTCTTATTTATAGTATTTTGGGGCGATTGTGAAAATCAGAGTTGTTTATCTAAACCTCCTCTGACAATCGGCCGAGTTGACTTGATTTAATTAATAGTATTTTTATTTTGATATGTTATTATATATGTTTGAATTAGGTTTTTGTTATCAGGTCAATAAATGAATTATTATTATTATTATATAATTCGGAGTATTATGAAGACGTACGGCTAAACCCGAAACTTTTTATTTCTACTTCTAGTAGTTCTAGTTGTTATTCAGCGTTAGATTATTGTAAAACTAGAATTAAAGTAAGTTCATTATTATTATTCTAAAATAGAAAATTCCTAGAGGTTCCTCTTTTAATAGCAAACATGTCGGTTAAGCGGCGCACAGTAGGAATATTTCTGAAGAAAAACGAAAATAACAAGAAGTCGTAAAAAAATCGACATTTTTTAAAAGATGCCCTGCAAATAATGAATCTAAGGAAACTGTAACGGCTGTACAGGTGGGCAAATTTGGGTGTTATTATAGGCTATTAATTTGTTATCAGAAGAAAATAACAAATTATTTTAGGTCATAGCCAACTATGGTTTCCATTTAAAAAAATAAAGTTACTTTTAAAATCTCGAAAATAAAAGATGGGTAAGAAATTCTACCTACGTCACTGAATTCTTCGTAAAAAGTTGCCCATATAATGTTTTATTTATAATACTCCATCTTTGATAATAAGTGAGATATTCGCAATTGTCGTTTTCGCAAAATTTTCAATTTTTGCCTATAGGGCGAAAACAAAAGACGATAGCTGTTCGCAGTTTTCGGCATTAGCATTTTCTCGAAAAACAAGATCATGACATGTAAGCTACTTTTTTTCTATCTCTTTTATTTATTGTATTAGCCAACCTAAACGCTAATGATGCTACAGACTTTTTTTTATAAACATTTGTTTCTGGCAATAAAAAAACATGTTCCACAAAAGTCCCGGTATGTGAAAGGTTACCCGCCCTGGATTACAAGGGATACGATTCGGGTGTTAAATTAAAAACGTAGGATGCATAAACGGTGGAAGCTCTATGGGAATTAGTTGGATTACGTTACTTTTTCGCTTTTGCGTGGTCGCTCAAAGTTTCTGATCGATCGCGATCACATAACATACATAGAACGCGTTCAGGATGATATTGTCACAGACCCCAAAACAATTTTGGTCTTATGTGAGACGCAGGAGAGGCGACACGAGTATCCCTGCTAGCGTCGAGTATGATGGTACTGTAGCTTCTGATAGGGAAAGCATTTGTTCGCTATTTGCTGAGTATTTTTCAACAGTTTTCACACCACCGTCTGCCATCGTGCTTGACGAGGGGGGCGTGATAAGTTTGTCTAATGTGTCTGTTGGGTCCTTTACTATTGCTGAAGTACACAAAGCATTACATGGGATAGCGTTGAATATGGGCCGGGAGCGGATAATCTACCACCAATCTTGATTAGGAACTGCTCTGAGGCTATGGCAATACCCCTACAGTTAATTTATAATAAATCTTTGCAACAGGGGATTTTCCAGACGCGTGGAAGCAGGCCAACGTAGTCCCAATTTTCAAAAATGGTGCTAGGAATTTAGTTACTAATTACCGACCGATATCATTATTGCCTATTATTTGCAAGGTTTTTGAGAAATTTGTGTACACCAGCGTATTTTTTCAAGTCAAACAGAATATACATATGAGTCAACATGGGTTTTATCCCGGACGATCAGTTGAAACCAATTTATTGGAATACACAGATTTTCTGTTCTCAGCACTTGATAACAACGTACAGGTGGATGCGGTGTACACTGATTTTAGCAAAGCATTTGATAAGGTGGACCACACTATACTGTTAAATAAGCTACGATGTTTTGCCGTGACGGGTGGCTTGCTGCGTTGGTTTGGTTCCTACGTGTCTGAACGCACCCAAGTAGTGCGCATGGGCGGCTACTCTTCGCATCCATCTATAATGACTTCTGGCGTGCCTCAGGGCAGTCACCTGGGACCACTACCATTTTTAGTATATGTTAACGATATA